CTCTATCAATGAGGTTCAGGACTTCAAAGCAATTCCTGATTCCTTTTCCTTGAAAATGATAGGTAGATGCTCAAAATCATATTGTGGAAACTGACCAGCTTTATTATTCTTCTTTACCTTAACTTGGAACTTGCACATGAGCAGTTCATAATCTGTTCCACAGTCAGCACCTGGACAGGTCTTTGATGCTATAATTGAGCTTCTCCACCTTCTTTAAGCAATAATATAGTCAATTTGATTTCTATCCACTCCATCTGGTCATGTCCATGTATAGAGGCATTGTTTTGGTTGCTTGAAAACAGTAAAGATGATCTTCTTGATGATTATTATTTTACCTATGCAAGCTCAGTTATTGGATATATGATGCATCTTATGATCAATATAGACCAGAATCTTCTATATTATTGCAAAGCCATCCCATCCTGTGATCTGCCCAAACTTATATTCTCCTTTGTAGCACTTTATGGAAATCTTTTAAAGATGCTGTCTGTAGTACTAAAAGCACAATATGCTTATGTACTCTAACCTTGATTGTTTTTGCATATGATTAAAGTTAAAGTTTTTTTTACAAGTTTTCAATTTTTTTAAATAAAGTAATTTTATTTATTCTTGTCAGATTACCTCTCTCCAAAGGAGTGTGGGAGCTGATTTCCTGAAAATCAGCTCCCACAGTCATGCTACAGATCTGGGAAATGACTATGTTTATTTCATTTTCATTGTTATTTGCCAGTAAGCATATAGGTTGTAGGATCCCTATCTGATGTACATGCCATATGCAACATTACTTGTTACAGTAAAGAGAGTACCAGTCAGTTTTGGCACATTTTGGACCCAGGTGCAACCAAAGTCCAGTTTTACCCCACGTATGCTAACACTATACTATGCTGGCAACCAACGTACTATTGCCCATATTTTCTCAACTCACAAATATATGAACATGCTAAGGGTGCACAGCAGAGAACCCATGCTAAATTAAAACAACACAGAGAAAAAATAATGTAGATGTAGGTTGTTCAGAAAATCCAGCTATGGGCTTTTGAAAGAGTGAACGCTTTTTAAAAAATGAGATGATAAAAAAAGAAAGTTGCCAGGGATAATCATTGTAAGAAAATAAAATCTCTCCAGCGCGTTCAATGAGATTGCTTATTACAGATCAGAAAAGAGTCCAACAGGATGTCAGTATGGTTAATATGCAGAGTCAATGAATCTAAAGATGTGTTCAAATCATACATAACCAATAAATAGTTAAGTGGTAAATACTATATGTCGTCCTGAGTGCCTCATATGCCATCACTGGCTTCTCACACACATAGCTAGAGTGATATCAATTACAAGCCAAATTTCTAAATGTCCAAAATGTTAAATGTTTTATATGAATATAAGATGATGATATTTCAGACCTAAGGCAAACCACTCTATATACCCATGATTTTAAAAAATGCTGTATAAAAACATTACAGATCATGGAAAGTTCCTGCCAATCTCCAGCCTTCTTCTCAACTCTGGAGTCCAGGAAGAGATCACTGCCCAGATCATCCCTACTATGCTGTCCAGTGCCAAACAGGGAGAAAGATAACTATCACTAGTGAATGATGCAACACTTCCTTAGCAAACAAATTTATTGAAGTTTGGATATGGGAAGAAAGTCCCTAACATTTTTAGCAAAGCTCTGACCCAGTTCCCATTTTACAAAGAAATCCCTGGTTATTTTAGAAACAGAAATTTAACTGAAAATTTTAAGGTGATATTAGAACAATACAGTTAGCTCCCATCATCAAGGGCAATACAGCATATTCCAGCCAAAACCAATGTGAAATAAAAGTAGTAATAGACAAGAATTAAGAAAATCCGTCACAATTCATTGTGAAATATAGACTTTTCTCTGAATTTTTCTTCTTTCCTCAGAGTGGATTGTCTATAAAAATCAACTTGACTTTAACTTGCTTTTTTAGGCAGATACATTTCCAGCCTTTAAAGAGAAGATGGACACAAAAGCAGGAGTTCATGTATTTTTAAAAAACACCTAATTGTTCCTTTAAGACTTTTAAAAATTACTCAGTGTTAATGTGGGGCATCATACTGATACTGCAGGAGAATGAGGAAGTGATGACTTGATAGTGCCTTCTGACAGTCCTACAATGCCACCTACTTGTTGATATTGCAAATTAGAGATAAGACTGATGCTTGTTTGAATTTGTACCACAAAATCCTCTATACAGAACACCTTTTAATTTTCAGCAAACCTAGAACCAAGACCACAGTTTTGGAAATACATTTTATGAATGGTTCCTAAATTTACAGCTGGCTAGTCTACAGCTTTCTGCAAATTGAAACTACTGAGTGATTTCAAAAATATTTTGACTTATCTGTCCTATTAATTTTTCTCTGCTTATTCAGCATTCATATTCTTCATTAGTCATCATCTCCTATCAAAAATGTTTGAAATAGCAAGTGGCCAATTACTTCTTCTCTTTACCTTGCATCCAGGGCAACATTTCTCATGATATACTGTAACAACAATTCTATGGGGTACTTTCTCCCCAACCATTTAGAATTTTCTGAGAGAAATAAAGATATGCTGGCAGTATGATACAACAGATAATAGATTTAGATTTCCAAATGGCTTTTGACAGAATGACAGAATTCACCATCATCCAATTAAATATATTCACCAACTGAAGACACAGAAACAAGTAACTCTTCATACCACATGATCTATGAAATTCACTGCTCCAAAATATGGTGTGAATTAGACAAACATGGAAAATAGATCTACCAACAGTATTAAGCAAGATGATTACCAAAAAAAAAATCTCCACGTTCAAACACAGGATACAACAACAGATGCCACCTGCTACCTCCCAACAGTATTGCCCATCCTATGGGGCATGGGGAAACACCTTGCCTTAGTTTCTGAGAGTTCACTGCCCATAATGTATTTCTACTTTCCCTCAGAGGGAAGTATTGGTGGGCAAGATGGTTCTCACTATCATGTTAATGTGTTCACAAAAAGAAAGGTAGAGGAGGAAAGCCCATGCCAATTTTTTAAGAACTTCAGAGCTCAGTTCAGCTGTACTTTCCTTGTGATCATCTTGGAAACCTATATTTGGTCACTGAAAGAAACAGGATGTTAAACTATATTGACTGAGTCTGTTCTAATATAGTTCTTTTGCTGAAACAGATTTAAATGTTATGGGGCTTAAAAGTAAGTTCTGTGGAGAGAAAACCCTATCTTACTTCTTATGTTATTTTGCACAAGTGTATGTGAGCAATCAGGTCTGTGTCACAAGTACTCATGGGAACACATAAAAATAAATATATTCAGTATCTGTACCTCAAACTAGTTCCTGTAAATAATAAAATTGTTACCAGAAGAACTCCCCTCTAAATAACTCATTTTTTTCACCCCTATATATCTCATATAGTTCAAACTCAGTATCCCTCTGGCAGTCAAACAATCTTAGTTCATTCTGGATGCCTGCAGTATAATGGCCTGAAACAAGAGGTGGAAAGGAGGAATTTCTTTAATACAGGGACCTAAGCCATAACCGAGCTTCCTCCCTTTAAACCAGGGAAAAGATGTGACAGTCCAGGCCAAACTGCAGCGGAATGGAGTGCGGAAAGGGGGCGGCGAAAGAATGCACAAGAGGTACAAACTCCGCACCAGACTAGGAGAAAACAGCCCCCCAGCGCGTTACCCCCTTCTGAATACGAGGAACCGAAAGCCGGAAATCCTGTCAAGTTTCTTTCGCTTTTCCTATAAGCCGATTGGGTTTTAGCTGGAGGGCTCCCCACAATCGGAGAGCCGCCTGACAAACTGACCGAGCCGTCTCACCTGTTCTATCGCCGCTTCCGTTCCTTCCTCCTCCTTCCTGGCGGCGACTGAGGTTGCCGGCTCATCCCGCAAACCTTCGGGATTGAGCGCTGCGGTGATGTGGAGCAGCGGCGGCCCCCAAAGTCGTTTTAGCGGCAAGGCCGCCCACAGCACGGCGCCATTACCGCTCAACAACTGACACACAAGCGCCGGGGTGGGGGCTTGAGAGTACTGGCGGCGCGCTGTAGGGCGGGAGTTGCCGTTGGAAATCTCGCGATGTATCCTAAGAGACGTCACAGACCTCCCAAATATGGCTAAATCAATCGCCTTCTACGCGCGCCGGACATCTTGAGTGTGCTAGATTTATCTACTCCGCCCAACGCACCAGCTAAATAGACGTGAAATGCGGAAAAGCTTACAAACCGGTTTATGGATGGGATTCGGGGAGCATTAAATATTCACTGAAAGAAACGCTACTCCCATAAATACATATTTCTGAGCTTAATTTGCGAGACGCTATTATCCCTGGCAGCCACTGTGTTTCCTTTAAAAAATGACAAGGAATGTGTCAAAGTTAAATCAGTGGGGTTCATCTCGGAGTAAGGATTGCTATAAAAGTCGTACAACGTGATTATCAACTTTTTGATTTTTAAAAAAGTTCCATTGAATCTTCTGGGACTTGTTTTCTGTGAAAAGTAATTAGGATTGTAATTAGGCCAATATATTCCTCTAAAATATCACCGAATTCAGGGATATATGCTTATAAGAGGCGTGGGTAAATTGCCTTCCAAGTGTAATTTGTGGTGCTGTTCTATTCAGTGTAATCATATGAATATTCAGAAGTAAGCAACATTAACTTTCATTAAGACTTATACCTAGGTACCTAGCTTCAGCACTCAGGCTGAATTTACATATTAGGGTAATCATAATAAGGTTGTTTTGGCTGAATGTTCTGTATAAACTTAGATATTGTTTGTCGACCATGCTTTATAGCAGAATTATTTCCACCAGTTGAAGGGACACAGTATATTGAGGGCTGTATTCCAAGAGTACATAAAAAATACATTTAGTTTTACCTGCAATGTGTACAAACATGGATCCCCTCCATATTTACTTGCAGCAAAATGTTTAAAGGTAGTTACAATTGATTTGTGCTGGTGAAAGTTGCCACCTTATACTACCAAGCACTTCGACAGACTAAGCAGTTCACACTTTCGCATCTCTAGTTATTGACTTAGCATACTGTGTGAATCTGGTCATGGCTTGTTCAATAAGCCATGGCTTAGTATGAACCAAATCTAATTTACTACATTTACATGCTACTTTGTGCATGCCAGTGTTAGAAAAAGATACAGCTGTTTTAAAGCATTGCAGACAAGTGCTTTTCTAGAATCAAATTGGAAGTGCTGCACAAATCCTGATACCTAATACCCCCTTCCATGTTTATTATCATTAAAACCCTAATGTAAATTAGGCTGATAGTGTCTGAGTCACACATCATGCATATGCATGTGCACTTGAGAGGCACCAATGACCACTTTCAGTCAGATTCACAAACACAGGTAAGGTTGGAGCAAATATAAATATGGTTTGATTTAATTTACATTTGATATTGAATCTGTGTGTGGCCCATGGGGCTCAAGATGTATGCCTCTGGGCTCAAACCAGTCATATGCTGGCTTAATGCTGGTATGAACCCAGCCATTATAATGGCTTATGGTAGTCCAAACTTGGCCAATTTTATTTTATTCAAAAAGCTGTGGTTAAACAAACTTTGGCTTAGAGGATACAGGACCTAGATCTGTGACCTAAAATATCACAGAGCTTCATAGCAGGACATTGAGATGACCATCAGGTCATCTTGAGACTCTTTTTCTCCTTATACTGCAACCTCCTGGATTTTATTCTTCAATTGTATTTAAACTAACTAGAGATGCATGAGCACTCTATTGCTCTTCAAAAGAGATTAAGTTTACATGGTTCAGTAACAAGCCAGGTAGAAACCAGTGACTTTCCAGTTTCCATCCCTTGCAGTTAAAGTTGCTGTATCAGCATTCCCTAGCTCTCCTTGCTGCCTGTGTCCTGTACATGATACCTCAGTAAAAAAAAAAAAAAAAATTAGGAAGTGAAAACTATAGATAGTGGCATGTATAAGTTAAACTCTGGCATGCTGAAGTATCTGAATTCATACATTACACTAAGCTATAAGCCATGGTTTATAAACCAGAAAAGCTGGGTTCATACAATACACAAAGCAAACCATATTACATATGACTTATATACTATATCTAGAATGTAAGATAAAATTTGAGATAATTCCCATAATCCTCTTTTCTAACATTCTACCATACAAATCTAATGTGATCTCAAATTGGTATTTGAAAACATTTTAAACAAGCCGTAAGTGAAAATTGGATACATGATGACATTCATGTACAACAGGACTGTGCACCACCTGAGATCCAAATATAGAAAGGTGCTTTGAGATATATGGAATTAGTCAGGTAGAACCAATCGTCAGCTCCTTAAACAAACATGTCTTTTGCTAGGATCATGTGGTGGGCAGCCATCTGATTCCAGGAAAAGGCATGGTTGCTCTAAGAAGATGCAGACAGGTGCTAGACATGAGTGCCTCTGCATGCTCTGAAGCCCCTTTATACCTTTGAATCTGAAGGAGTGTACATCACAATGCACAATTACCAATATTCACTTAGAACAAAGCATCTGAGTCATCCTCAGTATTTATTTGGAACTGCAACCACATACCAGATTTTGGTCACTCACTGTAGTAAGTACTAAAGTTATAATTTAAATTCTGCAGAAAAAAAGTTGATTTCTGAAGAGCTGCATACATTTGCTTTGCACAACTTATTCTGCTTCCTCTTAAATACAGACAAAACCCACTATGCAATGCCTTAAAGCTGCTACCTCTGACTACTAGGAATGATGCTTTCATTCTTTTAGTATCCAAGACTTTAGTTTCAAACCAAACTTAAGAGCTTAAACATTTATATTTTAAATTTTAAGATGAAGGTTGGGATTTCCAGAGTGCTCAATTTCTGTATTGCAGTAATGAAATGCATATAAATTATTAAAATAATTTGTAATCCTGTACTTCATATTTTTCATTGTAGCAGTTTCTGCTGATGAGAATATGTAAGTATCTATATTAGACATGAAACCACATGACAATCATGAGCAGAAATTCTTAGTGAGAAAAGGCTTAAAAAGTACCCAAGCAGTTAAAAGAAATTGATTGATTAGGTGCCATCATGCCAGTGTCAGATAAACTTTCTCCAGAATGATCTATCCTCAAACTGGCCCTTTAATTCACTACTGTTGCAATTTAATCCTCCTTTGCTGCTGCTTTTCTCTTTTTCTACATGTACTTTTTCCAGCATTAGAGCCTTCTTTAGAAAGCTATGTCTTCACATAATGTATCCGAAGTAGGATCATTTGAGCCTGGTAATTTGTGCCTTGAGTGAGAACTCTCGGTTAATTTGTTTGATGTTCTATTTGTTTTCTTGGCCTTCCATGATATTCTCAGGAATCTTTCCCAACAACCAAGCTACTGTTGTGTATTGACACAATACTGTTCCTATCCACTTCTTCAAAATCCAACTTTCACTTCCATAGAGTGTCAAAGGGAATACGATTGCTTTCACTATTCTGATCTTTGTAAGCATAGACCCATTATGGCTGCTCTGCCAAGTGCTAGTCTATGGCATATTTCTTGACAGCTAGTTCCTTTACTGTTGATGGTTGATCCTAAAAGGTATCATAAACATCATTACAGTAGTAGTCCAAAGATCCTCAGCTTTTCTCAATGCCATGTTGTGCGTCATCTGATCTGAGGGGCCCATCATCCAGAGCTACATTGGCAATCAATCTATTGTGTCTATCCATGTGGTTTTTGTGGTAGAATACAGGAATGGTTTACCATTGCCTTTTCTTGTGCATTATAAAATGCTCCCATTGTCATTATCACTAAATGATCATCCACTTCCAGCACCTTAATTTATTTCTGCTGCACGATATAGGTGTCTGCTTGCTTTAGTTGAGCAGCTAGGATGGTCTTCATGCTTTGGGTGACTCTACTGGGAATATGCACTCTTGACATATACTCCTGGCATACTTCTCTTGTCTATCCCAGGGACACCCACCATAAGAATGAGGTAGCAAAGCAAGACTTCAGGGGTAAGGGGAAGGTTAAAAGACATACTAGTATTTAATAATAATATTGGGTTTTAAGCCCAAATCAATTATAATAATTCAACATTCATTACTGAGTCTGGTTTGAGGCACAACAACTTGTGGTTCATAGAACTATGGCCTTTTTCAATATTCTGCATCACTTAGTTCTATTAGATGTAAATAGCTATTAGAGCAAATTGAAAAGCAGGCTAACATTGTAATTTTTAGAATTTTTAAGCAACATCTTTCCACACCCTGAAAGCCCATAAACATTACTTAAAAAAATATTGCATAAATGTCCCCTTTTAATTTGAACACAGCTCATTGAGAGAGCATAACTTTCATGGGCCCGTGAACATTACTGAAACTTATTTAAATACAGAATGCCAGGAACTACACAGACAACAACCCTACCTGATATATAAGATTCCTTTTGAACTACATAGGGAAAGGACATTGCAGAAGGAAAAAGCATCAATATGGGACTTTAATTGATCTAATTAATATATTGGTGCTGTATAATGAGTGGCTTCTATGTGATGCCCACATAGGAATATCGGGGAGTAATTTTTGGTTGGAAAAAAATAAAACCTTTTCCATTTCATTTGTTACCAATATGGCATCAAACTACTATCGGAGAAATAGTTTGAATGCTTTTGCAGAAAGTGTAAATTGGCTCTTACAAGTCATAAGTGTAAGAAGGTTTTAACTTACAATATTTCTGCAAAAACCAATCATCAACAACAAAAAAAACTCCACTGATAGTCTGGTAAAGGACAAGGAAATAGAATGATAAAGGATGATGTAGTGAACTTTCCAGGCACATTTCTTAAAATATTTGAAAAATCTAGCTACTCTTAAATTCAAGATTTTGTTAACAGCCACTAAAATGAAGGGATTTTCACCACAGGTGATTGCTTCTCTGTGTTCAATGTAATATAATATACCAACAATGAACTGATTTATACACACTTTGAATGACCTGGACTTCAACAGTAAACACTTTTTC